TCCTAAGTGTAGGACTTTGACCTTCTCCTTTTTGAGCATCATGATTTTTTTTTCATCCAGCCCTCCAATTTGTCTAGGTCTCTCTGAATCCTAACCCTGCCCTCCAGCATATCTGATACTACATCCATCCAGTTCTATGTTGGACAGGATTCTGCCATTTTAAAACCAATCTGCATGCACTGAATTTCTGTTCTGTTACAGGTTTAGACTGGTTTTTGATCAGTTATACTGGGGTTTTTTGTGTGTAATGTCTGTACCTAGCCTTAGATCCCTACTTAGATGGATCTAAGTGCAAACTGTACAGAAGTTCAGGACACACAAATTGGCCTAAAAAAGTCCAACCTGATATCAGTTAAGTGTACCTCTGAGGTAGTTTAAGTTAGATATGATCAGGAGAGACCAGTCTAACTGAACTTCTATACAATTCCCAGAGCAGCTCTGGGCTGGGAAGGTCCAGCCTCAGGCCTCAGTCCCAGCGCTGCACTTTTACTAATCTCCCACCCCACAGCTAATCAGGCTATTTCTAGGCCCCCAGCCCCTCTCCCCATGTACCAGCCAGACCTCCCCATCCAACAAGATGCTCCTGGCTCTGGTCTTACCAGCATTCACCAGTGCCAGGAACTAAGGAAATAAATAGGGGAGAGGGGAGCAGACGGGTTGGTTTACTGGGGAGAGGTTTTCATTTATAGGGGGCAGGGGGATAAAAACCTATTTTAGGTCCCAGGGGGTGGACAATAGAGCCCCTCATCCTCCCAAGCCACCCCACAGTCCCAGTAGCTTTCCTGATCCCACCAAACCCTCCTGATCATCATAACTGCCCCTGCTTCCCCCTACTCCCCAACCCCCACCCAAACTGTGCTAGCCCCCACAATCTCTCTCTGTAAACCACTTGATCCCTCCCATCTCCCACAGACCCCACCTGCCTACCCTGATCCCCACACAGAGCCTTATTGTCCTCCCACTAGTCCCCCATCGTGACTTACCTTAGATTGGATAATTAAGATTACTTTTAACTTGATCTAACGTTCCTCCTAACCTACCTGAATGTTACTGTGTACCTTAATTAAGTTTCTAATTTTGCAAGCTCATATTGGAAATTATTCCCCCCATTACTTTCCCAAGGCCACTTTTACTGTTTATGAAATGAATACAATAATTTCATTTAACTACCACACAGGGTATTAATAGTATAATTTAGTTAATATTTAAGATTGAGGGAAAACATCCCAATTAATAGTAACACTTATGCTTTTGCTTAAATCAGAATGTACTTTTAGCACAAGTTTTTATCTGAATTGGTGTTTATAAAAATACTATGAAAATTGAAAATCCCTTCTCAATCTTCTCTTCTCCAAACTAAATAAGCCCAGTTCACTCAGCCTTTTTGCATAAATCATGATCCTTTAAATTACAAATAATAAACTCTAGCTACTCTAAACTATAGTATCATTGATTTATTTTGAAGATGAATTGAACATGTCTGTCCACCTTCAGGATATTTTAAAATTAGTTATGTTGTATATTTGTTTTTTCTTTGTCTGGTATAATCTGTTAGTCCAAAATGATGGACCTTTTCCCTACTCTCCTTTTGAAAATATGAACAGCCTAATAGCTCTCAGTCTGGGAAGCCTCTCATGGCATAAAACCTAAATTTTCCTCACCTTAATTTCACTCCATTACTCCTACCTTTGATACGTTGTACCTTTCTAAATGATTCATTCTCTTTCTTGCTGTTTATTTATCTTAATCAATTTCTAAATGAGCTATGTTCTTGGCCCTCTTCTTTCCTTTTCCCTTCCTTATTTTTTCATTGTAAATGAAAACTTACAACAGTATACATTTATTTACACTTTTCTTTACCCCCTTCCAGCTTGGCTAGCTTTTGAGTAATGGGATGCACTAAAATGGAATATTCTTGGTATGATTGCAGCTGCTCAATAAAACAGATGATACAACACTTCCCTTTTCTAGAATGTGACGCTTTTCTGCCTGCACTGGCTAATTTTTATGTAGATATTGTTTTATAAATTCATGCCTTAACTAGATGCCTACTTACTGCTTTCCAGATTTCTCATTCCTGGTGAATATTATGTATTACATGCATTTTCTCCTGGTGTAGTTGGCTTAATTTTTGCAAACAGAAACTCATTTTGTTGTTATTAGTTTTGATAAAAATTAACCTCTCAGGGTATCTGTACATTTGCAGAGAGGCTGCTTCAATGCACTGTAATTGCAGTGCATCAGAACAGACTTGATTAAATGCACAGCATGAAAAATGGTGGCAAGAGTGCTTTAAAGCTTGTTGAAGGAGCTTTAGTTAAATCTTTCCCACCACCATTTTTCAGCACAGGGATGCTGATACAGGTGATGCTCTGGGCTGCTCTAATTAAAGCGTCCCACTCTGCCTCTTGGGGCATGTCTATAAATGCCCTGAGAGTCCTTTTAAATTATTTTCCAATTTCTATTATTGTTTGCACCTCTCCAAAATTTAATTTCATATGTCAGGTTACTGTTTTTTATGTGTGTCTTGTTTTTTGTCTGTTTTTCTAAGCCTATCATGGCATTTAAGAGTTTAAGATTAATGAAGACTTGAAATAAAACTGGATCAGCATGAAAAGATTAGCAGTTTGTCCACTGTTAGTACAGACAGTGATATCTTTGGCACACTTTTGTTTTGCAGCTTATTCTAAATCAAGTTAACATGATACCTTTCCACTCCTTTCGTAGCTGTTTGTCTTCCTGTACTTAGTCTGGAGCCCCATGATTTATCAACTGCTCCTTCTCAAATAATTGTTTGGAAAGCACTTACAGTAGCTCAGGTGGTACCATTTACTATTAAGCTGTTAATAAAGATATTACTATCAATATTGACCTTTTAATCATGCTTACAGTATCACAACATTTCAAGATAATAGATAAGCAGACAAGGTTCCTTGGGTGAATCTGATATCTTTTATTAGACCAACCCAAATAGTTGGAGAATAGTTATTAAGCAAGCTTTCGGGTTCAAAAACCCTTCATCAGGCTAAGGAAGTTTCAGCAGTTGGTGTGTGCTCTTCCTGGATGGAATGAAAAGATAATAGATAATTCTTTCAATGTGATATGTTCCTGTGTTATCATTTTCCATCGCTTACCATGCTGCAGCCAGTTTTCACAACATGTGACATTGTTCATAACTAAATCAATCAGAATATTTTTAGGCCAATTTGGGGAAACTATCAAATAGTTTTAAAAACTATTCTTTCATAGAACAATGTCATCTAATACACCCAACTGTAGTTCAGACTGGAAATTTAGTCTAACTTGTCTTGGTATTGTCATTTAGGCAAGGCCTTTGACACTGTCGACCACCCGATCCTCATTAAAAAGCTAGGCGACTGTGGCATCGATGCCTACACGGTCAGATGGATTGCTAATTGGCTGAAGGGTCGTACTCAGAGGGTGGTGGTAGACGGGTCATATTTGACCTCAGGGGAAGTGGGTAGCAGAGTCCCCCAGGGATTGGTCCTTGGGCCCGCACTGTTCAATTTCTTTATCAGCTGTTTGGACGACGGGGTGAAAAGCAACCTGTTCAAATTTGCTGATGATACCAAAATTTGGGGTGAGGTGGGCACGCTAGTAGGGAGGGAAAGACTGCAGAAAGACCTGGATAGGTTGCAAGGGTTGGCTAACAAAAACAGGATGTGTTTCAATACGGACAAGTGCAGGGTGTTGCACTTGGACAGTAGTAACTGGCAGCACACTTATAAGATGGGAAACTCCCTTCTTGAGAGCACGGAGGCAGAAAGGGATCTCGGAGTCATCATTGACTCCAAGATGAACATGGGCTGACAATGCGAGGTCACGGTCGGCAGGGTTAACTGGACCCTATTGTGCATCCACAGGTGCATCTCAAGTAGGGCCAAGGAGGTAATCCTCCCCCTCTACGCGACACTGGTCAGGCCACAGGCTACGGGGTCTGAGCCTGTTCAGCCTTCACAAGAGAAGGCTGAGGGGGGACCTTGTGACCATCTATAAACTCACGAGGGGAGACCAGAAGGGTTAGGGGAGACCTTGTTTCCCCTAGCGCCCCTCGGGATAACAAGGATTAATGGCCACAAGTTGTTGGAGAGTAGGTTTAGATTAGACATCCGTAAGAACTACTCCACAGTCAGGGCAGCTAGGATCTGGAACCAACTTCCAAGGGAAGTGGTGCTGGCTCCTACCCTGGGGGTCTTTAAGAAGCGGCTCGATGCCTACCTGGCTGGGGTCATTTGAGCCCAGTTTCTTCCTGCCCAGGCAGGGGGTCAGACTTGAACATCTACAAGGCCCCTTCCGACCCTACTTCTATGATTCTATGATTCACATCTACATGTGAGTATTAATATGATGCAATAAACTCTGGCACAGTTTGCACTGGAGTTCATTGCTCTTGGGCAGGGGCAGTTTGCATGTTGAACAGGGGCAGTGCAGCCTGCCAGCTTGTGGCTGCTCTGACCCAGCTCAGTGTGCTTTTGAGGGACTGGGGCACAAAGGTGCTTTAGTGTAGGGCTAGCCAACAGGCATCCCTCAACGCTGAACCGACCTCATGCCCCAGCCAGCCTTTCCAGTATCTCATGTGCGTTCCAGTGAAGTAAACTCAACCATAGGATAGTACTTGTATCTGGAGTACTAACCTATGGCAGAGTTAATTAGTTTGCTCCAGCCTAATAGCTCAGCACACGTAGATCGCTGATGCTTTACTGAGGAGCTAATTATGTAACTGCAGTAAGTGTCTCATGTAGATGTGCCCACTGAGGGCTTTTGAATTCTATTTCTCTAGTTTTCCTCTCCATCATTGTGCCAAATATTAGTTTTTATTAATTGACTGGTAGGGCTCCCACTGATTTAAGTGGAGCTAGTATGCAGGTCAAACTTTTAACTTAAGGATTTAAAAAATGGGATTGATATGGTAAATAGAATTTCTGAGGATGAGACTAAACATTTAATTGATTACATTTTCTTTTTCATATTTTTTCCAGAAATTGAAAAATTTCAGAGTTCTGACGGAAAAAAGGAAGATGAAGAAAAGAAATACCTTGATGTCATCAGCAACAAAAACATAAAGCTGTCAGAGAGAGTACTGATCCCTGTCAAACAATATCCAAAGGTACAGTGACTGTTATCTAATATATGATTAATCTTTCACAAAAGAGACTTACAAAAGATATGTAGGGTTTTGGGATACATAAAAGCTGGGTATGACTATTTTTTTACCAGGATTTATTTGCATATTAGACGATATGTGGTCCAAATCCTAATGAAAGACCTTATTCAAAACTTCATTAAACTCAATGGGAGTTTTTCCATTTACATTAATAAGTTTTGGATCAGGTGCACCATTATGCATTTGCTATGGGAGTTCTGCCTTTATATTGACTGCCTTAATATTTTTTTTTAGTTGTATTTTATTTAATGATGGAACAAGAATGAAATATTGAAGAGGACGAAGGTAAGCTATGCCCAGTAACTGTCTCTACTCAGCTCATGTTGTAGTTTCTTCACTTAAGAACTAGCAGATGTTTTCCTATTGTATTAATTTTAAAGGGAGACAGTTGGATAGTCATAGGCTATGATTTTAACAGTATACATGCTTCTAAAATTCACACATCTTTTTGCCACAGTATTTTCTCACATGGTATTTTTTTTCCTTTCCCTATTATATATTTTGATTTAAAATGAAAATTTACATCCAAAAGAATTCAGAATTCATGCACGAGCCGTAAGTGTCAGTTCTTAAGTTCAAGGGATGTCTACACAGCTCTGTGTAATGAAGAGGCAAGACATGCTGTAGTATTTTACATAAAAGAAGAAAATATAGTTCTCTTTGTTCTGACTTGTATTTTACATAAACAGTTGTTGTAACAGAATTCACACAGAAATGGTAAACATCTTCATTTATCTCTAGAGTATTTTTTTTCTTGCTGATTTATTATCACATGGTATTTGGTTCACCATTACCCTTGATTACACTCTCAGCTTTTCATTTTATACTTTCATCAGTAATAGCAATAAATTACAACAGGTAAAAAGCCTATCAACCAAAATGAAAGGTGTAAAAAATTGAGATTCAGTGATTCAAGCTGACATTTACCTCCTGAATAGTGAATATAAAATTGAGATAATGTAATCATCCAAATGGTAAAGACCTTAGAAATGCACACAGTGATATATAAAGAATTACTTTCTTGCTTCATAACCTGAGGTACTTTCCCCAGGTTTGTAACATTTTGTATAAATGCTATAGGTGAAATTTTCAATAACATTATAGTACTGTGTCTTTATGAAAGCTCTTTGATATTCTAATTATTAAGAACATGAAGATAGAAGAATGAAAGTTAAACTATTAAAAGACAAATGCAATAATCTATTCAAATATAGTACCTCCGTCAATTAAATTAACCTTCATTTACTTTAATGAACTTGTTATATTAATGAGAAATGTAAGTTATAAAACATTTCTAGGGATTTTAAGCAGTCAGACAAATTATCTGCATTGTAGATAAGGAATTATTTTTTAACTAGAATAAAATATACTCTCAGAAAGTTTCTCTTATTGATTTCCTACCAAGCTTCCAGACTGAAAGATATATTGCACATTGGTTTAAATCTTCCTAGGCTGCCAGGACTCTTCATGTCTCACAATCAACAAAACGATTTTAAGGTTTAGATCACTCATGTAAAGGCCTTTATGCCCTTTTTAAAAACTGAATGTGGGAACATAAGTTCTCAGTCCATTGGCTGAGTACCAGTATTCTAGACTGAAGAAAGACTGAAGAGTCCATTCCACCTTTAGAATGAGAAGCAGATTTTTAGTCCTGAAGTTAAACAAGAATTAATTTCAGCATACAAATTCTTCTACTGTCTAAATTGCTCTTCAGGCTGCAGAATGAATATTATAAAATTCTCTGTTCCCAAGTGTATACATTTTGATTCCTGAAATTGCTGGTGGCAGATAGCATAAAAGATATCTGAGTCAGTGATTAGCAATGACTATCTAATATTAATATACCAGTTATGGCACAATCCTTTCTGCTTGCTTGAAGAAAATAAAGAAACAGTGTATCTTCATCAGATCAATCCCATGGTACTACTGAACAATGTTTTTTTCCCCTCTAAAATCTGTTATTTTAAGTCTAAGTGGGCACATTTACACAAGTTGTTTCCTGGAGAGCTGACTAATTAGTAGAGATGTGCAAAGGTTCCGTCACCGGTTTGATTCAGAGAAGATTCAGCCCAATTCGGAGGCTGATACACCGAATCCAGAGCCTCCGAATTGATTTGGAAAAGATTCAGGGATTAGGAAGGCAGACTTTCAGGGGAAAAATCTGACAAGATGGAGGGGGAACAGAGGGAGAAAGACTGACATCTGTAGCTGGCCAGTGACTGTGATCTTTCCCAGAGTCCCCGTCCAATCACAGTGCTCTGGGAGAAGGACATAGAAACAGCACATAAGGCTCTGTCTGCAGTCTTTCTGTCCCTTTTGTGAGATGCTTCTGCCAGAGCACCAGGAAGGCCCCCTGTTACAGGCTACTATCCCTGCTGTTTTCATCCCACTGAGCCTTAACACATGCACAAAGTCACACGTCACGAGTTTTGCTTTCAGCAGTTTGAGGTACAGTTTCTCAGAAGGCCCTGCACCCATCTCCTTGAAACGTGGCAGACTTCATGCTCTCAGAAGGGTGTACCATCCCTGCTGTTGCCATCCAAACCTGCCAAAAAATGACAAAGTTATAGGTATTTCAGTGATTTCCCATTATAGTCTATGGCCCAATCTCTGAATCAGCACCGAATCTTTCGAAGTCGATTCGGCCAAATAATTTGGGACAGTGATCTGAATCCCTGAATCAAATCACTTCTCTCTGAATCAGCCGAATCCAAATCCGAATCAAATATTTCCCTATTTGCACAGGCCTGCTAATTAGCTCTGCAGTATAGGTCTCATGGCACCTATACATGTGCTCTGGGGTTAGGGGTGGGGGAGCATTTAAATTAGAGTGACTCTCGGGAGTCACTCACATTAAAACACTTTCAATGCCTTGGGAATAAATGGGAATAATACCCATTATTCCCATTGGAATAATCCATTGGATAATGGATAATGGGTATTATTCCCATTGGGAATAATTGGAACAATAATATACATTTATATTCCTGTTAGTTATTGATTCTTTATTATTCCCATTTTCTTGTCCTTAAATATGTAAAGTATACCAAGTCCAACTCCCTTAGATTTAGACTGAGAGGGATAAATTTTAAATTAATGTTTGTAGTTGCTTTATTTAATTATATAAAATGTTCAAGCTAAACCATATGAATTCTGTCAGTGAAGCTCATACTATATGTTACATTTTTTATGCAATTAACTGGTTAATTACACAATAAATTTAGACCAGTTACGCATGTAAAGTAGTTATCATGCCATAAAAATATCCATCCAGCTAGAAGAGCCAACCAGCTACAAAGTTCATGCTTGAAAATGTATAACAACTGTATACCTGTTTTCTATTCAGCTTTAATTTGAATGTATAACAGGGCCCTAAGAGACAGAATCCCCATCCTCCCCCCAGATTTTGCATCTTAATACAAGCTTTACATAATGATTTCCTAGTGCCATTGTTGTGTAAGAGATGTTTTACATAAACACGTAACAAGTTCACTTGATACTATAGCTATGCATAAGAATAAGAAGCCATCGAAGTATATGCTATTTTTATTAATAAGATAGCTAACTAAGTTATCTGGCAGTGCATAAATAACTTCATTTTCAGACTAAAAAAGACATGTCTTGTCCAAAGACTTTGAAGAATAATTTGTTAATTTATTTGTTAGACTTATATGCTGCCTTCCCCAAAGAGGTCACAACAGCTTATGAAAACAAATGAGCAAACAAATGAAACACTAGATAAATTATAACGAAAGATAAATTATTAAAACAATATGTAATAAAACAAGTTCCCCGGATTATGCCTCCTAGCTTAACACACACGTGGAAGATCTCTAGAGTCAGGTTCCATGTCAACACTATCTGAGATGGCTACATATATTCAAAGACACTCCTTAAGAATTACATTTAAAGAGATTACTTTGAGAACCGAAAATGATTCAAGGCAGAATTTCAAGTGTTAGTGAGCCATAACGAAACTAAAGAGGTAGCTCAAAATGTTGGGTGAGTAGAAGAAAGAGCTAAAATTATAGCTTTACATATATGCTGAGAATTCCCAGCATAGGACCAAAGACATTTAGAATTTTGCTGCATGCATACTCACAACTTACTAATCATGAGCTCAAATTATTACTAAGAGCAGCCTCCAGAGGTAAGAATAAAATGAAAGAAGTTAATTTGCAAATCCAGCCAAACTCTGAAGAATAGTGTATTTTCCTCCTTCAGCAAGATTATAGAAGAAAAATATAACATTTCTCTAAACTAGGTTCCCAACAGCATGTTCTGCTCACTTAACTCCAGTAGGCAAAGCTCAGCAACAGTACACTTCTTTTAGCACTCTCATCACAGTCTCTCAGCTCACCTTATTCAGACACCTCTGCAAGGAAGAGGCAATTTGCCATTCAGCACTTTTTCTGCATAGTCTTAGCTCATTGTGATAATTTCATGTCTTTTAATTGCAGGGTCAATTAAGTCACGACAAACCCCCACGTAACTAAAACAGTAAGACTCACATTTCTGAATGGGCTTTGAGAAAGCTTCTCAGTCCCCTAGACTCTGAATTTTAGTACAGTAATTTTGAGATAATGTTTCTTTGTACTCAGCAACTTTAAACACCCCTTCCTACCACACATGCATAAAGAGGGTATTTAAGTTATATGTTGTTATAGTTTGAATTGAAGCAAACTACTGGAGTCTAGAGGTAATTTAAATAATGTTTTCAGGAGAGCTAGAATAAGATATACGTCAAATCAGCTGAGACTCACCTCTGTCTTTGCCTCTGGATCTAGCTAAATAACTATTCATTTTGTTACTTAATTACATGTTGTAATTAGTTACCTCCCCTTTAAGAAAAATACAGAAACAAAAATAAAAGACTTAATTCAGAATATTATTTTGAGTTGGAAACTTACGAATTAACAATAATAAGAAGGAACTGTTTTCTA